AAAAATATATTTTCCGTGCCAAACAGTAATCTCTTAAGCACAGTTACAGTCATTCTGTTCTTTACTTTATTCTTATCGCGTATCTGGAGGATATAATCGGAAATGACTAATAGACGATTGATCAACTGCTACTCACTTTGAAACAATATTGTTATNATTTTACGATGGAAAAATATATTTTCCGTGCCAAACAGTAATCTCTTAAGCACAGTTACAGTCATTCTGTTCTTTACTTTATTCTTATCGCGTATCTGGAGGATATAATCGGAAATGACTAATAGACGATTGATCAACTGCTACTCACTTTGAAACAATATTGTTATAGTTTAAAAATATTCGCTGCTTAATTATGATTTTAATTTTGAAAAATGAATAGAACTATGTGATTTTATAATAGACATTCTCAAATTGTTTCAAACTGTTTCTGTGTCTTATAAAAGCAGAATAAATCTATTCAAATTTCTTGTAGCAGTGCGTTAATGTATGTTACTGTAAAAAGTATTTGTAGAATTATAAAAGTGCAGGTGCATTAATTTGTACAGTATCCATACGCTTTCTGTTTCTTTTATGTTATACATAAGTAGAAACACACTAGAATTGCATGTTCATTTAGTGAACCAAAATAACAATTACCCTATTATAAATATGGTTTTACTTCATTAAGCATTTTCACGAGCACTGCGCATGTTTTTTTAATAAATGAATAATTATGCTTCCATGGTTTGACTTCCTATTTACTCGAATTGTACTTTTAATTTAATGTTAAGGCAACATTACAAAATTTAACGATATGTAATTCAATAGAAAGGTATATTTTTGATCTCGCGAATGTCATGACAATGCACGCAAATGCCCTTTTCATCTATAAAGATAATTATAATTTTAATGTTACGTTGTTGATCATGGTTCATTAAATCCACAGAGTTTTCTCGATTGTTATCACAGACTTGGCGCTACTTAAAATTTTCTAGTCTAACAAATACGATATACATAAGCCGAAACATAAAATCTCCTGTCTCCGAGATTGTATATCGAAAAATCCTCTACTATTTCAGATTCTGAGATTTCGTCTTCACACACAAACTGTATACACAATTACAATTTTTGTATAAAAACTTTTGGTAAACGCCGTTTCAAAAACTGTTGAATGCAGTCACTTTATGTAATCTTCAAAATGGTGAAAGATTTTTCGATATCTTTGGAAGCGAGGAATTCACATATTTTCCCATGTTTCATAATTTCCTATACAAATTTCACTACTTATTTAACAAAGTTTTCATGATGGTTTAAGATCATGACAAATTCACTAATTCGTGAAACTTTTTCACATAACAATGATTAAGGACGAACGATTTTATACAGAGTACAATTTTTAATTCTCGAAAACACGATTTTGAAGATGATATTTAATTTACATTAATTCCTTATACATATATATATGCGTACAAAGATGCATGCAAATATGAATATATACATTTGAGTATGTATACATGTAAGTATACATCTTATGTTTTGTGTAATATGATTATTTATTTGTTCTTTATACAGGTACTTATTTGTAATGTATTGTTTTGATCTCGAAAATGTATACATGGCATGAATGCCTTGCGTTTATTCGCAGGTTTCTTTTCATGTTAAGAAATAGACACATCAGATTTTGGCAGAGTGTGCGTTAATCTATTGTATTCTTGTAAAAAAGGTTGCAGAATTACATTTTCATGCTCTCCTTGAGGGGGGGGGGGTATCCTAAATTTTTATTATAATTTTAATCCTTTGAGTTTTTAAATAGCAGATCCTTCTTTGCTGTAGTCCTTAAGTTATGCGTTGTAACTTTAATTTAATTTTCAACCTGTTCCTCTTTTATTTTTCGGTTTAAACGATTCCTGTTGTGCTCTATTGTACAATGATGGAAATGGTAACATTAATAAAATATTACTTTCTTATGTAAAAACTTCAAACCTTTTATGATTACAATCCTGTGAATTCTAATTCGCATATTCAAGTCCTGAGACCTTTTCGTCTCGAGACTAATTTGAGACGAATTGGTACTTTTGAGCTTGAAATACAAAGAAATTTCGCACAAAAAACATGTACATAAATATGTGTTTATCGATATAAATAAATAGATTTAAATAAATTTTATTATGCATATGATTTCTAACTAGATTTGTAAATCTTTCAAGTGTTGAAAAATAATTCGTGGTCTTTCTAAATCGAACATGCGGGGTGTGCATATACGGTTGATGGCTAATCAAGGCTGCGAGACGTCCGTAATCTTGAAAGTCTCGAGATCATCTCGACAGTAACCGAGACGAACAAGTTTCGAGCCTGAACATTATCCTTGATCTCTTCCTTTTTCTCTTTCTGCGCGGATCCAGCCTCCATTTCAACTCGTCTCGAGCCAGTCTCGAGATTCGACAAGATTCGACAGTCTCGATTCGTCTCGAATAAATCTCGAGACTCGAGAGTCTCGATTTTGTCCGGCTTGGTTCGTCTCGAGACAGTCTCGAGATTCGAGAGTCTCGATTCGTCTCGAACCAATCTCGAGAGTCTCGATGCAGCCCGGCTCGGTTCGTCTCGAGACAGTCTCGAGATTCGAGAGTCTCGATATCTAACATCGGCTACTAAGATCTACACCATGATGTACAATGTAAAATGTTTAATAAAATGATATTAATGAGAACACATTAAATCAGAAACGTTTTAAATAGAGTTGGCATTTTCTTATTTTAGACGAGACGACCCATACCCATTTAAGGTATGTAATTTAGCTGTGCATCAGAGAATATTGTTATATTTGTTGTCTATGTATGATCATATAGTTTCACTTGGAATTTATCAGATGAAGAGATCGTGGGTATGGCAATACTTTGATCAAGATGAAAATGGAGAGGCAATTTGCAGATCATGCAAAAAGAGATTTAGAACTAGTAGTGCAACCTCGGGGTTGATAAGACATGCTGATAAAGCACATGGCCTACACAAGATGACACAATTAGTGCAAGGAGAACATGATCCACATATATCCAATCATTCAGATATTTCATATTCTGGTAAGTGATAAAGTAAGCAATTTAGTGATACAATATTCCTAAATATAAATCTTCAATATATTGAAGTCCTGTTACATCTGTTCAGATAATGAGGATATTAAAAATGTAAACATTATCGAGGTAGATCTCCCACCATTTAGCCTTATAGAAGAGCAGAGCTTCAAGGAATATTTCCAGACTCCTGACTATCAACCTCCAACAAAGAAGATAAAGAGGAATCATCAACAACTAGAAGAGGTGAGTGGTGTTTGTTTCATGATAAATGTATGGAGAAGTATACAGTTTTGAATGATTTCAATCCAAAGCCATACATGGTTCCAATAGGAAGATAAATGAGAATTTTAGACAGTTTTTTCATAAATATTATATAATGATATACAGTAAATTTGCTCCAATTGTCTCTGAGTTTGCAAACAAAAATTTTGTGTTTATAATTGGGGAGAATTAACTGTATTTCGTCTACACAATCAATCATACAATGAATTGTACATGCATGTTATCAAAAGTATGTTTATTAATTATGTATGACATATTTATGGATATATGTGTATACACAAAGTGCAATCCGCTATCTTTGACTTAAGCTCACGAAAGTTCAATAATTGCAAACGTGCAAAAAATGATTTTTTCAGTAATATTCAGTTGATGAAATAGCATGCATTTATTAAACAAGGATTTCTATCATACAATATTTCAAATTTCCGCGCCGGTACAACACCATTGCACATAGTGGCAAAACGCTCAAACTGCTGAACAAAATTACCAACAGTTGATAATATATGAACATTACAAATGGACATTATTATCAAGTATTAATTATGACAATCTGAAGTTAAAGATCGATAGATGGGATTATTAGAAACAATTTGGGACCAAGAATGTTAAAAAAATAGCATCTCACGGACAATTTATTTTCTTTGCGCTCAAGGTACATATGCGAAATATTTCCGCAACTTTTCCGTACGAATTTTTTAAGTTTGGCACAGTTTTGATATTTAATTACAAAGATCAACAAGATCTTTCGCAGAAGAAGGACCAGGGAAAAAATAGTGAAGATAGGGAGTATTCGCAATATCAGACGAAATTTCCGCGATTTATTTTTTTTTTATCACAGTGATGAAGTATGAAACATTCTACAATTGTAAGATTACAATGATGATGATATAAAGTTTTTATAACATCCACATTTATATTTTTCAAGTGCTGTGTTTATTGCATCTTTTTCCTTATATTAAGACACAGAAAATATATCTTTTGAATATATATTATTTCCTAGCTGTACTATTTTTCAACTTCATCGGATTCTGGTTTTACTTCTGTTATAACACCTTCCTCTATAAATTTAGTATACAAGGGATCTGTTGCAGCAACAACAAATGAAAGTACTGCTTTTGTATAATAGTCGGGCACTAATTCGAGATTTGTTATAACCATGGATAAGAGATGTGCTTTTTCTACATATATACCTGCAAAAAAGGAATATTCACAATATGAGCAGTGTTTTAGTGATTAAAAATCCTAATATATATTATCATTGATAGAACTCCATTTATTCAGATTTGTTAAAGATAAAATAATTTAAGAAATATTTATTCCTGAGACATTATTAGTTCAGATAGTTAAATAATAGAAGCTGTAGGTTTTCCGAAATTTTACTACCTCTAAACTAAACTTTATTCATTTAAATAGAGTTCTCTCTATTATATTAAATCAATTTTAAACATAATAAAATATAGAACATGCATATTTACCTGGAGTTTCAAACATGAGATATGCAAAATGTACATGGAGATAATAATATGATGGTTGATAGTGCAAATATATCCTAAGTTGAGAAGCAGATATATTATATTTTTTAGAGATTGTCTCTATTCCAGCATCCCTAATATTTTTTAATAGTGGAAGATGAGATGCATTTAACTCTCTTATTGATTTTATCTTTTGAAAAGGAAGTGCTATTAACTTTAAAGTATTTCTATGCCCACTCCATTTTAAATCATTCACCAATATAAATCCAGTCTTCTCATCTTTATCCTCATACACAATTTTGTCCTGTTCTGCCTTGTGTTCCATAATATTATATACCCACTAAAATGATGTTATTTACATTGGATTGTGTAATATAAAATGCCAAAATACTAAATTATTTAAAAATTCTATATACCTGTAAAGACAAGTTGCTTGATTCTATGTGCGGGAGAGTAACTTTTTTGTAAAGTTCATATGTTTCATCTATAATGAACAGTTGCTTTCTTTTGAACTTGTCAATATGCTTTTGCGTCGCAGGATGTATTAACATTAACTTTAAATCTTGAATAATATATAAATATCAATTACATAAATGAGAAAATGATAATGTTATTACCATATACACATAACAACATACCATTACATTCTTTCAGCGCAAAACATTCGTAATTTCCATAAACATCATTACTGTAAAGCTTGCGCACAGCGGTGTCTTTATTAAACAATTGTTTCTTTAAACACGCTGGATCGTCGGAGAATTCAGATTTCTCAAACAAAATAACGCTTGAGCCTTCACGATCTTTAAAGGTACCTTCGATGCATATTTGTTTCCTCAAAGTATTGTTTTGCAATATCTGCTTTACTTCAAAGTTGGACAAACAAAACTTATCGTCGTGTATGTTTTTAATAATTTCCGATACATTTTCATTGTCTATTTTGATTTTCTTAGCTGAAGAACATTGATCTTCGTCGGTGTTTAAAGACACTTCCGCCATTTTTAATGACGCTTCCGCGAAGCCTATAATCCTCTACTTTGCAAGTTAATTAGCGCAGAATCTATTTGTGAATGTATGCCGGCTAATGTTGTGTTGTTTATCCTTTTATTCTTTCGAATAGAATCAAGCATACAATTGTTGATCGAAGTATACTATTTTTGTTTACGGATTGCTAAGTGTAATGTTTAAGGTTATGTTACACAAATCGAGTACAAAAAAAATATTATCATTTCCGTCCGATAGGATTCAATATTCTGTCTGCGCGTGGTTACACAAATGCATGATCGTGATCATATTTTTGTCAAATGCTTCATAATTTGTTACACAATACACAAATACATATATGTACGCACGTGCGCGTATTATGTATCTAAGGAACTACATACAGAGGATCCGTAGATTGAGTACAACTGCCACATATAGACATTGTATGTACAGACATGCAAAATCCAAACACGGTGGCTTGGATCCAAAGCAGACACCTTATCTTTTTGTAACCTTTGCCTCATTATAAAAGTCGTACGTTAGGAAGGAACTCTTAGTGAATCCTGGTGGTTAATAACAATGCTGCAAGTAGATGATAGAAAGGTAAAGCATTAATTCAATTCTTGTCCAGTAGATCTGTGTCGATAAGATTAGCAGAGTTAAGTAGCCGCGTTATCAGTAATTTTCCATTCCTGTCGGTACTCGGTTTTTCTTCGTGTCATCCACGCAATTTTCTAACGTCATCAAATACGTCTAATTTGAACTGTTACAAGTATACAATGCATTGTTCTTGTTAAATCGTTCCCTCGTCTCGTCTTGCGCGTTTATATAATTTATTTCCCTGTTGCATTGAGGTTATGTATTCTTTTATGAACGGCATGTTATCAAGAACGTTTTCGTGGTTAGTACGATTGTCTTTTTCATTGTTTCCTCTCTGCGTGTTATAAATAATCCGTATTAATCTGACTTTAATTGGTTTTTCCTTTCTGACGGATTTAATAATATAGAGATAGTCATCTAAATATTAACATATTATATCGTTCTCCAAATATATGTATATGCATTTTATCCATGTCGTATAATCTGCATATTATTGTTAGAACAGAAGGTTATCTATGTATAACTGTCATCTTATACTTATAGTGAATTCTGAAATTGAAGCGGTATAAATAATGCGTCTATCAATACATTGTGTACGATGGGTAATACTAGCAAACGGAAATAAATTTAGTCTGCCAATTTTAAAATTATGAATACGACTGCTTCTATTACATCATATGTTGCACAAGATCAAATTTAATCATTATTTAATCTATTCATATACGTATTACTAGAATACATTGCAAAACGTTAATTTCATTTACATACTTGTTTGTAATAACTATTATCATTCGATTTTAATTATACGATACGGGACAGTTTTAAATTCGTATAAAAACACGCAATTTGATTAGACGGAAATCGACTTTTTTTTCAAATGCTCAGGTTATTTTTTATTTATATATACAATTTAACCGACTTAACAAGAATACAAATCAAAGGAGAATTAAATGATAACGATGTCATAAAGGCGCGCTTGAAGCGCCCTATTTGTTTTTTCATTAATGAAAACTTTGTTTAAATAAGAACTGTCTTCCTCGTTCCGCGTCCCAGAGTTGACATAACGATAGAGTAGTATTATCGTCTCATAGGGGTCTTATTACATAAGGATATGAGGCGTAGATTGTCTGCGGTTACACTTCATTTGACTATTGAATGATGCTTGTTTCGGCAAGCATGATTGATACACATAATTTCCATCTGGCACACGTGTGCATGAATTTATGGATTAGCGATGTTCAATTTTTAAATGAACTCGTGTTAGAAGCATTAATGTAATTCGAACCGATTTGCCGCGCGCGAATCTTGTTTTCGTATCGAGTTTATTTGAAACGTATTACATATAATTGTTAGTCGTCGCAGCAAATATCTTTCTTCTTTCGAAGAAACGCAAAATGAAATTCTCAACAGTTCGTCATTCTAAAGCTACGATTTTGGAAAGTTTCTGCTGTATCATTAGCAAATTTGAATTGTCCGTTACCGGCGCAAACGGCGGCCATATTTGTGTCCCAGAGAAACATTTGGAAATTCGAGCGCGCAAATTCTAGATGCAATATAAAACGGAATGCGCGTTTTTATTTCCAGTTGTATTTTTTAACATTATAAACAAATGGGTGCTGAATTGAAATTGATAAAACACTGAAATAAACCATTTGCAGCGTGTTTTGAATAAAATCAAATTCTTAATAATAACCTTTTTACTCTTCGAATCTGAACGAATGGCAAATGAATCGTTTTTATTTTAATCGTTGATTAAAATGTACGCTTAATTTCGTGATCAACTTTACACGAACAGCTTGATCAATCTTTTCTTTAATAATATATATATATATATACATTTCGATAAGAGATTCGTTATAATTTTTGCTCGGACGATAGTACCGGAATCAATTTTGAGATTTTTTTCAGAACACAAAGAAATACCTTTGTTTTTTAACGTCGCCACTGATATATATTCGCGATCACATTCGATTTCTACATACCGATAACCTCCTGATTCTCCGATCGAGATTAGTTACTTTTGAAAAGTTTATGAAATTAGATTTGAGATCAAATAAGTCACCGTTTATCTCATTAAATCCCAAGGATTCCAACCGTAAACGTGGTCCCGGTCTTAGAAGATTATACATAGATCCGATGTTAAGTAACCGATGGTATTATTCTGCGTACGACTGAGACATTTATACCAAACGTCTGTTATTATGTCTTCATTTAGCTCTTCGGCTGCTACCGTTTATCTCGGTAACAGATCAATCAAACCTGATTAGTTTTGCAGAATTTTATGCGATAATTATTCAATATTTATCGATTCACGGATAATTATTACAGTCAATTCATTTTATATAACAACTTCACAGTGAAGTTTGTGATTATTTTATTTCATTTAATCGATCACAGAATGACTTTACTATTAATATCGTAATTAATTTTATAATAATTTCATTTCATTTCATTATTTTTAAGGTATAAGTATAGTATAGTCAATTCATTACACTTTAATAATTGTGCAGTCAATTTAATACAATTTTAATGCAATCAATTCATTTTCTATAATTTTCTATAACGATTCTAGGCTAAAATTTAATAATAATAAACTGTTGCAAGATCTGTCATCACATAAAGTTAACTTGTTATTCTTGTATACATAACAGTGTCATTTCGCAAATCGGATACGTGTTACGTCTTGTATCTGTTTGAAGATTGACAGGAATTTTTAGATAAAAGTGACCATCGCTTGCGATGCTTGTTATGTACGCGTTGATGATCACATTACGTTGCTACTTCTAAAATAAACATTAAAACCCGCAATCGTTAATGTTACGATATCGTGAAGCAAACATCTCTCAGTTTCAAATAATGATGATTCAGTTTGCAATAAAACGTGCATCGGTCCTACCTGAAATTATCCTTCATTCAATTCAAAACGCATGAAGCATCAATTTGTTACGAAAAGAGGCGGCGTTATAAAAACAAATAAGATACTGTGTTTATTTTCAAATACAGGAAACTCTCCCCAATTGTCCTTCGGCTTGTAAACGAAGTACGACGATTTCGGAAGAGGAGGCACGTTTTTATAGTTGCCGATTATCGACAATTATAAAAACGAGCAGCCGCAAGGCATAAATAAATCGTATCTCCTTTTCAAGTAACTAATATATATTATATAATAATAATTATATAATTTAATAATAATAATTATATATAATAATTATTATATTATTATATTAATATAATTACATTATTATTTAATAATTATAATAATTATAATTTAATAATTATATAATTTCAAGTAACTAATATATATTATATAATTTTATCTTATAACTTTGTCAATATGTTATAATATTAAGTTATAATCTCGAGTTATAATCTTCAGCAATAACGACGCTAATTATGCGAACGTCGAGTTAACATTTAGCAGACGTAAATAAAGTCAAAACAAAGTCAAAGGCTATCCTAACGTTTCCCAAGCCTCGGTGCCCACAGAATGCATAACAAACGCATAGTCAGTCAGTCCTCGGATGACTAAGCTTATGAATAACTTATCCTAGAAAATTGCACAGCTTCTGTGCCCCCCCCCCCCCACCC